GTGACTGGAGTTCTGCGGTAATCTGTAGTGATCAGTATTGAGCTAACACAAATCCCATTCATTTACTTTTATTATTTTCTAGCAAACTGTAAACTTGAAACTGCTCATATTGTCTAAAAGTTATGCTTTTCACCATTAGAATTTTTAACCTTTCCTCCTCGGCCCAAATCATACTATATCTACCTAACCTTCATGTTATACTTTTTATTGCATAAATGAAATACTTTGACTCTAAAGTTTTTCCATTTTAACCTACATTCCAGAACTTCTCTTGGCAACAATCGATGGACAGGATGACTCACAGAAGCCTCAAGATTATTATTAGGACACCTTGAATGAGAATAATTTCCTTTTGGAGGAGTGCAAGGACCAACTCACAGTTATTAGGACTTCAGGGACTGGGTTTGACTCTACAGTTTTCTCAAGTATCGCAGGAATTAGTAGACACAGATACAGTATGTGTGTAAAAGTGTGTGTATTCACAGGCAATCTATACATGTTTGCAGAAAACATATTTGTCTATGAATCCCCAAGTTTATTGTGTCATTTCACACTTACGTTGGCTGCTTGAGGGGACTGCAGTTGGGCAGTCCATCTTTACTGAAGGCACTCAGGTCACAGCGACACCAGTTATCAATGACATCACCCTTTCCAGCACACCAGTATGAGCTCATTGTGGCGCTCTTGAAGGCCTGTAAAGGGTAACAGGTGAGAGAAATGCAATTATCTCTTAGAACATGTGCTCGCTGTCCATCTATGCTTATCCCATCCCACCTACTATCCAGCTCACCCTTTCCATCAGTGTCATCCAAACTCTCCAATTTTCCACCTAACATACTCTTTCTTGTTTAAAAAAAGTATATTAATTAAGTATGTCTACCAAAGCTATGATTCGTGTAATAATTCTGAATTCATCAAAAATTTTCAAACCTTAAAAAAGGTGAATCTTACACTTTCCTACATGCAGAGTGACCTTTTAATTCCCACCTTTCCCAATTACTGGAAGGCAGGAACATCTCAGCAGCACCAACAAGCTTACAGTGTGATATCATCAATGCACTGTGACTTTTATGATGGAGATGAGAGTGCAGTGACACTCCTCACCTCCCTCAGTCTATGTGCTTTGTGTGTGAGATCTGTTAGTGTTGCTGGCAGTTTGACTGTGAAGGGGATGGAGGGGGAGGGTAGTGAGATATTAAGTGGTGACATCATCTCCTAAAGGTCTATTTGTGCTACTTTATTAACAGGCAGAAGAAAAACAAAAATCAAAGGTAAAGGCTCAGTCATCCTCTAAAAGGCAGCAAAACACCAATACAACAGTCAAAGCTGTGAAATATGTAATCAGGGTTTTCCCTAAAGCCACAAGCATGATATATAGTGACTACTGGTAGTAGAGAGTTTGGAAGCACTCTTGCTCTCCCTGCCACACACCCTGGATCAATATAGCTCGCCATTATTTATATGCTTTAACTGGTCAGTAGTGCTGTCTTATGCATACTGCTATGGAGATGTGCTTAATTATGGTCACAAAAAAACATGGCCAAGACAGTGAAGCACGTGAATACATTATCATTGGGTAACAGGCATCCAGCAGACATCAGACTTCTTTTCCCCCAATACATCATGACATTTACTATCTGAAAGCAAAGCAAACGAAAAGAAGAGACACGTAACTTTAAAATAAATCCTCATTTAATATTAACCTTTATTTAACCAGGCAAGTCCCATTGAGATCATAGATCTCTTTTACAAGGGAGGCCTGGGCCTGAAGGCAGCCTAACATGCATGTTTTTGGACTCGTATGCGATAGAAGCACACACACAGACACACAAACACACACACAAGTTAGAATACATTTTCACACTTTTGTAGACGAAATGTCAGAAAACTTTGCAGTGTTGATTTGTACCAGTGGCATTTGAGATTACTCTGTGCTAATTTGTGACATAAAAGGCAGAATTTAGACCAAAAAAGAGCCAGAGCATGAACTCAGAAGCGGATGTTAACATTTCCACAACACAGCATTGTTAGCTGTGAAGAAAGCTCAGCAGACTTTCATGGGAACTGACTCTTTTTAATACCACTTGCTTTCACTCCAAGGCAGAGTACCTCAAGAGTGCAAGTGGCCTAAATGAGCAGCGGAGGAAAGATTGAGGGGGAAAAAGAGGGTGAGGCTGGAGAGACCATGGAAAATAAGACAATAAAAAAGCAACAGGATGAAGAAGAAAACAAAGGTGTTAAAAAGGGCTCTTAAAGCTATCCCTTACTTTACTACAGGGAAAATCCCTCTGAAATCCCAGTTTTCTCATTAAACCCATCGGTGTATGAATGTGATAAAGCTCTGATTAGTCTCTTTAGAATGATTTGTTCAATTAGCTTTGTAGAGATCTAGTAGAGTGCTGTATGAATGGGTAAATGAGGACACAGATTGTAGTGTAAAGTGCTTTGAGTATCTCGATAAGATAGAAAGGCGCTATATAAGTACAGTCCATTTACCATTAAACTGTATACCCTGCAAAGTAAGTCACTCTAAATGAGCTGGCAGAATGAGATGACATAGGGGTAAGGACAGTTACAAAGATATAAAGTAATTCCACCGAAAATCAAAAAAGCCTTAACATTTCTCCCTCCTTGCCCAGACCCATGTGGCTGACTGCCGCCAGAATAACACAACAGGATCCTTGCCACCTCATGTCAATGGGAAGCAGACCACAGATAAAGGCATTACAAAAATCTTGGAATCTTGGTCTATGCACGCACAACGACTAGACAAATATGCAAAATGACCTCCAATACAAAGGGCAAAAGAAAGAAACACCACAGGACACCACATGCGTTTACCACCATCAGTTTCTTAGAAAAACCTCATATGGGTATGTGCGCTTGATTGCATGGCTGCACATGTGAAAAACAGACAAAGCGATTACCACTGTGTTTATGTTTAAAGAGTAACGCAAGCCAGTCTCCACTGGGTAAACAGGGAATCTAATTGTGGTTTAGGGAATGAGGTGGGGAGTTGTGTGTGTTGGTGTGTGTATGTAGGGGGATGTTCATGGGGCAGAGGAGGTAAAATATAGATGAAGGTTTACAGAAAGGAAAAGAAAAAATAAGTGGTATTGTTTATATATAAAATGATAATGTGTCAAATGTCTGGTGTTGAGGACAGCAAAATTCCCTAACAAGAAAAAAGAAAAGAAAAAAGTATTTAAGAATAAATCCTACATAAAACAAAAAAACGTAACATTTTGGATTGGCTGAAAGTGCATTTTATTTCCATCTTGCTGTCTCGGTCATCTCGGTTGCATTTCCAGTACAGCTCATCATGTCTGTTCACTTCACCTAGCACAACAGGGATGTTTTATATTGTTTCTAAAAAACATTTAAACTCAGACATTAACGCAGCTTCAACTACAATACATTCCCATCTGAACTGACAAAGCTAACTCCAGGATGGGATGAAAAAAAGTGCAATCTGACGTATAACAAACTAATATCAGACTCATTTTCTGTCGCCTATATTTTAAAGAAAAACAATAAAATGTCTCTTAATTTTGTGAATATATGTAACTGTAACAGCTTTTAATTGAATTGGGTCAGCACACTTTTCTGCTCTCAGATGTGCCTAAGACAGAAAAGTAAAAAAAAAAAAGTATGAGAGATAGCATCAAAGTAGCAAAACAAAGCAGTTTAGAATGATGAATGAAATATTATTTTCTGATTGTTTTATATCAGTTATAATCTAAGGTATAATGTAAGCCAAATTACTCTAATTTGAAAAGTAAGTTATTTGAATTTATTTGGGCTGATAAACCTCTTCATTTATGTGCATCTTTGGTAACGGACAGAACAATTTCAAAACTCATGTCTGCAAACCAGCAAAGTCATTTTCAGCAATAAATGACAAACATATATTTTTTTCAATTTTTCTGTTCCAGGGCACCAATTAAAACAGCCACAGTCTTCTTAGTATGTGTTTCATTAACAGATTTTATGTATGAATGAATCAACCATGCTTCGTCAGTCGTGTGTGTTTTTCCAGAACTGACATCATGAAAGTTCACCATACTGGCTTTATTCATTAAAAAGCAGCCCTTGTAACATATTCCCACAGAGTTTTGGAGTGATTCTAGATATATATGTCACAGTTTCTGATGTTCTTAACTTTACACTGCTATTTAACTACCAGTAGATGCAACTGCAAGACTTTAGTACAACAGTATTAAAAATAGTTGGAACACACCCTAACCTAATTTCCCTACTGTATACCTTTATCTTTAATGGATATGCAACAATTTTTTTGGCTAACATAAATATTAAGGTTCTTGCAAATACATTCTGAAGGATAAAAGTTCAAGGTAGTTTAATTAAAATGCATCTAAAGATAGCATTTAACAAAAGGACAATAAATTTTTGACCAACCACATATCTTCCAAGTCTGTCAAAATTGCAAAATGGCTGACATATCAGCTGCAAAATACGAGCCGTTGTGACAGAATGTGCCAACACGTCTGTGGTATGGACATATTTTAACATACACAATGAGAGCAGTTTAGTAGCTATTTGCAACATTCACAATTTTGAGTGTTTTAGTTGTAGCAATAGAGCTTCATTCAATATCACCAGTTTAACACGTTTATCAAGAGTTTACCTAGCTAAAGCTAGCATGGCTAAGCAACGTAGTTTAAAGGAAAATCTAAAGAGAAGAGACAAGTTTTCATGGGACAGTGATAAGGCAAAAGTGATGAATGAGTAATTGAATTTATCACTGGATGACCAACCCATTGCTAGGAAGAAAAAAAATAGCATTCCATCACATTTTGATTAGCCTCTCAATAGTAATCAATAAGTGCTACCTGAGCAGTAAAAAATGGTTTGTCTCACCTGATGTACATTTTATTTTCTTGTTGAATATACAAAAACACTAATAAACTTGAGTAACAACATAAACAAGGTTTTATTACTGTGATGAAGAGCTACTGAACTGTTAAGCACATGGTAATTAATTTTTAATTATTTTAATGAACTTGTATATATCTTTGAGTCTGTGCTGTAATAAAATGCAAAATACTACTTTGTACATGCATGGATTGAGAATATCAAACAATCCATTATACGGGGAGTGGTGGCGCAGAGGTTAGAGAGGTGGGCTTGTGATCCGAAGATCGCCGGTTCACGCCCCGGCCCCGACAACATCAAAATTGTGGGTGGGGTAGGTGAAACACCCACACTTGCCCCCACCCTCATTCGCCCCACTCTGGGCCCATGAGCAAGGCCCTTAACCCCCACCATGTGCTCCCTAAACAGGTCTCTCTTGAAAATGAGTTCTCGTGGCTCAATGAGACTAACCTGGATAAATAAAGGCTAAATGAAAAAAAAAAAAAAATTATTTAATGGATTTAGTGTCAGGGACACAAATTTTTTCATAGAAACATCCATACAGCTTATGCATTTTCCAGAACACTACTGATTCATATCTTACTACACATTCTTCGCTGACTACATAAAGGCAAGGAACAGATCCATTAACTATGGTTCATATTAGAATACCCAGTGTTTGACCAACAGAAATCTATCAGAGCCTTGGTTGTGAGAGCAGAAGACCGTTGATGTGCAGCAATGAAACATTTGCTTCAGGAACAGAAGATGCCAATCTTGTCGCAAATGACACAAGGGTATGTCAAATCACAAAGCG